TCTATTATCACTGCTTATCATTGTACGGAAAAGAAAAGGATAAAAGCAGCAGTGATAGCCTTCAGTTGGGTGGTTGAATCGAAGTTGGTTTTTAAAGAAAGGAGAACCGTTGAAAAGCGCATCCCTCAGGGATGCATTCGGCCTGGCTTTTTGGGGTCTGGGTTTGAGTGCTTGCCTAGAGTTGTACCCAGACCTTCCACGGCCAAGCGGTTACAATACAGTTCTATGGTAGGATCTGGGCACGAGATTGGCGTTAGCCATTAACACTGAAGACACCTAGCTCTCACTGTGCGTCTCTTCGTCTAGGTGAAAAACTGACAAAGTGACGGAACATAACCTCATCCAATGGACTAGCAACAGGGGGGTAGCAATAGGGGGAGTAGCAATATTTCCCAGCCTCTAAGCTACAGGAACCGTAATTAGCTTGAACAGCGTGGGCTACAATACAAGAAAGCAGATTTCAGCGTTTTTCAATTTCAAATTGATTGTGCAGTTTCAAAGTACCTTTTTAAGGTCTAGATGAAGTCTCTGGTTAAAATACAAAGGCAGCTCTGACATCATGGTGTAAAGACCCCAGGTCTGCGTAAAATGTGCAAACATAATGGCCCACAGAGGTAAAGAAGTAAATATCGACTTCCAAGGAATTGCAACATCCTGTTAAAAGAAGCATAAGCGTGACTAAAAGACCAATTAATCAAAGATACTAGAGGGTTGCAGTTTGATGGGAATTGAAGAGAAGAGGGATAGTGAATGGGGTTCCCAAAGAAAATTTCAAACGGTTACAATACAAAATTTGCAGATTAGTCTTTATATGCTAAGATTTCAATATTTTGGTGAATGGATGCCTTTGTTATGAATTCTTCATACCAAAACAATGAGAAAAATCTGTCAGTTGTACATTTGGTTTGATTTTCAAAACTGGGATACTTCACTGCAGCTGCTAGAGACAACTTCATGGTGCACGCATCTTCTCGATCGTGCGCACGTGCGTGCGTGCGGGCCAACTACAATAATAGCGTTCAACTCCACACTCCGTTCACGTGTAACAGCGCCAGGAGGGCTGTGGACGCACAACGTTTTTATTTTACTTCGCATCCAAAAGATAACCTCCAAAACTCAATACTTTTCAAAGCATTTATCCTTGACTTTAATCGGAGCTTAAAACAATTCTGGGCAAGAGTTCCAGATAACGTCATACATTATGCATAGAGTATTACAAAGAAACCTTTATATTTAGTCTTTATGAAATGCATAATTAATGTTCGGGTTATCTGGAACTCTTTCCCAATTCTGTGCATATCTATCAGGGTCTGCCAGAACCCGTAAGAAATTAAAACAGAAAATAAGCTTATTGATCATCGCTTGTTTATACCTTGGCATGCAGATCACTTCTCAGACTACCCTCTATGTACTCTAATTCCTTGACTGAAATACATGGCTGCTTCGACGGAGAATTCCTTACCAGTGCGAACCAGATAACAGCCCACAGCACACCACTGGTTCCTATAGATGGGGTAACACAATTTTGTAAGGTCTAACTTTAAGAACCGTCGAATCTCTGTCCCGAATGCATGGGAGAAGAATAGAGGAAATGTGGTGGGTAGCCCGTTCCCGAATTACCTTTGGCTACTTTTCAAAACGAGACGTGGTGCTTATCCTTTCACATGATAATAAGTTTTCACTCACATACAAATTAATTTCGATTAATCTCAATTTCATACCAGATCTCATTTTGAAAAAGAGGCCAAAGGTAATACGGAAATGGCGTACTGAGTCTGCAACCTCGTTCTGGGAGTGCTTCTCACTTTTGATGAAATTGGTATTGAATTCATTTCGTTTTTATACTCACCAAAGACATAGAATATTGAGGACCAACCAATGTTGTAGGCGAGGTAGCCTGATAGATACATGGAGATAATGATACCCAATCTTGATCCTGACAAAACAGAATTTAGGAAAAACATGCTGATAGTTTTTCATCCATAACGCACATGAAAATATCGTATTTATTAGGAAATTCATCCAAAGTTATCCGGACTACCGAACAACATTTTTAGTGCATTTGGTAATATAATATCAAATGACGTTTTAATCAATACGATGGACAACCTCTAACAAACTTGCGTTTTGGGCTCGGTAAAACCTAATTTGGTAGGGCTTTTAAGCATGGTGAGGGGTTGGAGCTTACACCAACTTCTTATTTGAAACAAGGACCGTGATATCAAGATGTTTAATATTTTATAAACTAATTATGATAATTGTGCCATAACAAAAAAGCAGCAATACCAGCGGGGTTGAATGTAGCCAATTTGCTCCTCTCCAATGGAGGGGCCCACTGACTCCACAGCGCATGCCCAGCCGGATACACAAATCCCTGGGAATAAACAAAAAAAAAAAAAGGCGTGAGCCTTTGAATGACGGAGGTGTAACATTCCTGTAATACCGATGGTATCGACTTAAAATTTAAAAGGTGAAATAATGCACAAATGTGTAGAATGAAAAACGAACTTATTCCAATTTTACCTCAGCCATCCCTATTGCGACCCGTAAGGCAATAAGCACCCCGACGTGCGCACGCGCAGCAAGAGGTGTTAACATTGTCAAAGCCCCACTGGTTCCAACACTCAATCCGAGGATCGTGGCGCCACCAAATTTTCGTGCTAAAACTCCACCTGGAAGCTGGGTTATTATGTAGCCATAGTAGAACGCACTGAGAATTAACCCTGGAAAGAAATTGAAGGGGGTTGATTATCATTTTCATTTAATGGTCCAGTACCGGTATTAACGAAAGGAACGATGGAAAGATGGAAAGAGAGAACGAAGGAACAATGGAACGATGAGAACGATAGAACCATGGAACTATTGAACCATGGAACCATGGAACCATGGAACCATAAACCATGGAACGATGAAACCATGGAACCATGGAACGATAGAACGGAGTTACCTTGAACTTTTGTATTCCACGAAAACTCCGCAGGCTCCTAAGGTTTTTAGAGAAACGAGTGAAACATTTTTGAAATTAACAAATGAAGCATATTCTGTTCAGAAAAAAATTAAATAACCTGAAGTTTCATTTCACTCTCGAATCGATCAAGCGAGAATTCAGAAAAAGCACAGTACCTGAGCCTCCATGCCATCGTGTATAATCGTCTGATTTGCGACCATTACAGCAATAGCCATGCTGAGATTTACTCGCATAGCGTAAATGTTTGCAAAACCCAGAAAGCTCATTGTGGCCACTATGTAACGCATTGGAGGAAAATATTTTGCGTTACCAAGACTTGGAGACTGTGTTATTTTCTTGTCCTCAGTCATTTCACAGGTACCAGCTGTTTTCCTCTTGTTTAACTGCCCTTGTTTTTTTTTTTTTTGTGATTTATACAAAAACAATGGTGCTGATTTTTTCTTTATTACAATTTGGCAAAAGTCATGCCTCTGTTTTACTGATGGAGGTCTGAAACAAAGCGAACAGTCGATGAGAGCTGTAGCATGGGGGCTAGTGGGGAAATTAATAGCGATCTAACTGTGTCAAGCATTTACCCTGTACAAAAAAAAAATTCTTTTACCGAACAAAGAACCCGAACAATCTTATAGCATTACGTACCAGTGAAATTAGACTTTTCTCTTTTGTCGTTTCGTCAGTACCACGAAAATTACAGGCTTCTCTTTTTGTAATTAGCGTTTTGTTGTTCGCTAGCTTTCAGTAGGGCACAATCTTGAGATAAAGTGGTCCTTGATCGCCTGTTGATGTTTTTAAATCCATTTTACGTCATTTGCTCCCTGACTGGTCAAAAACAAGCTCTGTTTACTGCAACAGAAAATTGTTTTTATTTTGTAAATTATCTTTAACTGGTTATTCGCATTTTTATCACATCTGTCAAATTTTGAAGTAGGCAGAAAGGGGGAGAGGGAAGTTATTCCCCCCCCCCCCGCCTCCGCACAGGTTCGAATCCTCTCGAGGACCGAATTTCTTTTTTTTTATTTTATTTTTTTCTTACTGTCTTCCCACCAACAAATTCAACTGATTGGAAAAAGTCTCAAATGAGAGCAAAAGGGAAGTAACAGATTATAAGTTTCAGCATCTCAGCTGTACTTAGAGCTTCTCGTTTCTTCGAGGAGAGAAAAGAAGGTCTTTCGTCTTTTAAATCTGCCCTTAAAACATTCCTCTTCCGGAAATTTTATTTTTAGTATTGTGAAACACTACATAGGTTTTTATAGAATAGAATTTATTTTGTTAGTGTAGGTACTACTGACTGTTAGTATCATTGTTATATTTTATTGTTATTATGCTATGTAAGCGCATTGAGATTCTTAAATAGGCTCATAAAAACCTTACTATTATTATTATTATTATTAGAGGTACGGGAACCGTCACGCATCAATAGTCAAGTTGGCGTGACAGATCAACTAAGGAAATCGATATATTAAGGCGTCCTCTCGCTCTCGAGGCCTGATTTATTGTTTTGTTTTTTGTTTTTGTTTTTTTTCAGCCTTTCCATCAACAAATTCAACCCTGCAAAACGAGTCTCAGATTGGAGCAAAAGAGAATTAACAGATTGTCAGTTTCAGAATGTTAGTTGTACTCAGAGCTTCTAGCTGTTTTTGGAGGAGAGGAAAGGTCTAAGTACGAGAACCATCACGCATCAACAGTTAAGCTGGCGTGACAGATTAACTAAGGAAATCGATACATCAAGGCGTTAAGTGAATGTTATTGTTTTGCAAAAGTCGTTTACACAGACAAGCCCATTAAACAAATTCAAATTTAAATGAGAAGCTAAAAAAACTGCCATCTTTAAGATAGATAATGGATAATTTAGCGAGAGCTGTTGCCAAAAACAAAGAGCACAGCACTACTAAAAGAGACATTTACCCCAACCATTCGTCACCCGATAATTTCACACTGAGATCCTAACAATAGCAACATAATTGTAAACGCCGAAACAGAATATAAATGCCTTTGTCGCCAAAGCGACAGCGAATGTGTTCATTAATTTACGGGGTCGCAACGTTGTTTATCGAAGTTTCGATCTCCGAACAAAAAGACAGTCAACATTCGAATTCGTTCTTCTTCAAATGGACGAGGATACGCAAGTACCCACAGACTCTGAGGACTTTCGTAAGCGACTGACAGTCCCAAGTGGCTTCAGAAACTTGCTCGAAGGCCTAACTGTGGAAATTTTGCGTTGCAATCCAGACAACATTTACAAATTTGCTGCGGATTACTTCCATACAAAGTTGAAAGAGCGTCAAGGTTCGTTTGATCAGAATACTATCTCTAGAGTTTGTGAAGACGCATGTTGATTCCTAGTAATGATATTATTTTGTGTTCGCGTTGCAGCGTTGTTAGTTAAAACAGAGTCAGTTGTGAAGACTACTTTTGAAGTGTGATCTGTTTAACACCGGTACTGTTACACAAATATTCTCAAATGCCTCTTAAACGCGCGAGTCAATCTTGTTACGATTGCGTGTATCACATCATTGTGAAATGATGAAGCGAAATCTTCACCAAGTAGTTTCTCCCTGTAAATTCTTTTTAAAAAAGCTTTGAAACGGGTTAAATCACTTGCACATTTCCAAAGCACCCCGCTGAGTCTGCGATCGCGCCGAAGTTGTGTACAAATTGTGAACAACAAATAACAAAAGATCGAAATGGGGTTTTGAATTCAACAGCAAAGAACTAAGTTTAGAAATAGTTGTATGGTTTATTCCTCAAAAGATGCAGTTTATTATTCCTTCGAATAAATATCTGAAAACGTTAGAAAACGCTACGATTATTGTAAATTATTGAAACTTCTTCGTTCCATTTTTTGACATTCGCGCAGAATATAATTAAATAGATTAAGCACAAATTTTTCTGAGAATTTAAAAGCAATAATGGATTTTGGGGATAATGCTCAAAACTGGTCTAAAAACGCATTATCTTCGTTGTAGCAATTAATTTTTCGTGCAATTCAAGCCGAGCGAATCGTAAATAGCCTAGATAAAAAGATTGTTTTCTATTTTTTGCTTTAATTCCCTTGATGCATAAATTGCTTAGCCTAGATCTTGTATGTAAAATTCATAAAATATTCTTCTTAGTTTATTTTCATCAAAATAATATTATTGATTTTCTTTGCTAGCCCACCTTGGACCAAAAACTGTTACTGATCTTGATAAGATACCATCTGGAGCGGCGCTTTTTCAATACTAGAGAACTGACTCCTATCTACTCAAATAGTGCTTATTAACACCTGCCAAAATGTAATTTTCTCAAGAATCTTAAGAAAAAAAATTCGCAAGTTTAGTTGGAGATAATCCTTATCCGAAAAAGATTTCCCAAACTTTAGGAAGTGTGAAATCAAACCCTGATTTTAATTCAAATCAGTGACACTAAAATGTTTAGCCATATTCGTTTTTTTGTTTAAATGTTTTTATTATTCTTCAAGAACTGACTCATTAAGAGGAAAAGACATATTCTTTTTTTCCGCTAGCCCCTAACACTGATCTTTTTCTTTTTTTTTTTTTTATTAGAAAAACAATTTTAAAACCAAGAAACTTACCGAAGAAATATCAATTGCGATGTAAAACCTGAATTTCGCCTTTAGGTCCTACCGCTTCTGAAGCAGATGCGAATGTTTCGTTGAAAGACCTTTTGTTATGCAGTGCCAAAAAGCAATTTAGCAAATAAAGGAAATAAGTTTTAAAGTTATTATGCCTGAAAAGCTGGAGGCGTATTAGCTCAGTGGAACAGGAAATGAATATTGCTCAAGGAAGCCGGAACAATTGACTAATAATTTCCTAGATAGCTCCTATTATCGCATTTATTTTTCTGTTTTGTTACTTATTTTTGGATTTTTTTTGCTCGATTTTTTGCTTTGTTTTTTGTTTTCTGTTTTATTTCTGTGTAATTTTTTATATTTACTCTTCCCCTATTTGCGTCAGACCAGTAGATTAAATGAAGCCTGCACTAAACAATAGGCGAAGAAGATCGATTCATGATTGTCTTGTTCACACTAATTCTGGCCTGTAAGTTAAATATCCTTCGATTTATGTGGTTTTGCAACTACGTTGTCTCTTTTTACGGAATATAAAATTACTTAAGTGTCTTGACCAATTTTTTCTTTTCAGTCATTTAAAAAAAAATCAAGTTACCCAAAGTTTTAAGTAGGCATCGAAGAAAATCTCGATCAAAATGAGTATCTTAGCAACTACGCACTCACCCCTCCCCTAACCCAACAGAAACCTTAACTTGTTATCAGTTGACTGTTGTTAGGTTAGGGGGAAGGGGTAGGTGCGTAGTTGCTGAGATACTGACATTGACGCTTTCAGCTCGCGTGGGGCAGAGCCCCATACCCATGGAATATGGTCAACCTCTTTTCGTTTGGTTGTCACGTGACTGACCGAGCGCACGTATGTACGTGCCTTCAGATTGCACGGGTAGTGTAGGGAAGACTATCAAAACGAAGGGAGGGGTGTCTCAAGCGAGTCTGGCCAAATGCCACATCTTTTATGTTATCATTGATATTACGAACTTGGGAGCTCCGCTTTTAGGCTTGGCTAAATCTATATATTATGCAGAATTTAAGTACAGCGGTTGTTCTTTCGAGTTTTCTTTGACAAGTTTCTTTGGCCTGAACCACAAACAAAGACTTACTCTACACCCGTTGCGGACCTCTGTTTACATGAAAATGGATCGCCGAAAAAACTCTTTGATTTCTGTCGATGCAATTAATTTTACCATGGCAAAATGATTCCTTGTGACATACATTAAGAACGTGTCCATCATTGTGTGCGTATTTTTTTCCCCTTTGTTACGCAGAGAAAGGGTACGATGACTGTTTATTAGGATCACAGATAGACGGCTATTATAGGTATGAACCCTCTGGAGCCAGTAAAAGAGAACTTGACAAAGCAGCCACGAAAATACAATCAACATTCCGGGGGCATAAGGTGCGACAAGAAGCAGGAGCCTTGAAGGAGACTAGAAACACGGGACATCGGCAAGAAACGCCAGCTACTGCTGCAGAAAATTTTGGCGGGAAAGAACACGAGGCTGCCACTTGTATACAAGCTAGTTACCGTGGTCACAATGCTCGCCAGGCATTAAAAGCGCGAAACGAGGCAGCGATAACGATCCAGGCCGGATATCGGGGCTACACAGTTAGGAAAGGCTTGGAAGAAGGCGCCATTTCGCGACCAGTTCGTAAGGATAGCCCTGTTTCATGGCGGGAAGACGAAGAAGCTGCAGCCTTGAAAATACAGTCAGCTTTCAGAGGGCACCGAGCTAGAGAAGCGATTCGAAGTGAACGGAACATGGACACTGGCGAAAGCGGGAGCAAATTTATAGCTGCGGACGGCAATGCGGCAAATGACAGGGACAACATGGACGAAAGTGTTGATGTCGACAAAGATGCAAAACTGGGGAGAGATAACGCCGCTACCACGATCCAATCAAACTATCGCGGTTATTACGCCCGAGAGCAGCTGAGAAACAAAAATAGCGCTGCAACAACCATCCAAGCTAATTACAGAGGATATAGAGTTCGTCAGATTCGGCGCACCAGATCTGAAGCTGCCGTCACGATTCAGAGCTACTATCGTGGTTACAGGACAAGAGAAAGTCTAAAAAAGCGAAGTTCTACCAAAACATACCTGGAAGTGTCGGTTAGCGACGAGTTTGCGCTACATCGTGATAGTCGCACATCGTTCAGTCTTCCCGTTGGGGTGAAGTTCGAGGGAAACTTAGACGAAGACAGCGACGAAGAGATTGATAAAATGGTGGACAAACTAAAGGCGATACAGGAGGCTTCGAGTCCTGATCTTGCAGAGGACAAAGACGATAATTAATTCGTATATAGCGCGAAATCTCAGCGATAATTTTTCAAAGCAAAGACTGCATTTTTTAAGTAATCAGACAGCCAGTTAAGTACCATTGAGTCTGAAATACAGGCCTGAAATTTTTTTTTTTTTTCAGGTCTGATTTTCACTATTGCTCAAATAGTGCTTTACTGCGAAGGATCGTTCTCATATACGTCTCATAACCGCAGTTCACACATATGTTTCATATGTTTGTTGTTGAAAGACTGCATTGTTAACTATAAATAACCTCATATTAAGTGCCTCTTTAGATTAAAATTAAACTTTCGCGAACAAACCTTGAAAACCAAAATTAAGTCAGTTTTCAGATGAGTGTCTATAGTAATCTAGGATTGCAGTAGTTTTGCTTTACTCCACTCTGTGATTGGTCCAGAAAACTCGCACCACACTCTTAACCAATCAGATTCAAAACTAGAAGCAATCACGATTTGGTCGCCCGCGTTTTCCCGCGCTTTAGGCAGTTGGATTGATTTGCTTTGACTTTCTCTCTTTGTGGTATTTTCCTTTCTTCTGATTGGCCACTGTGATTACTTTGGTTTCAGATTTACGACAATCAATCCGAAAGCGATCTTATGCTGCAATGATATCTGACTCAAGAGCGCTTTTCGAATTAGGGTTGGAAAAAAAATCAATCAAAACTGAAGTAATCACAGCGGACAATAAGAAAGAAGGAAATTGTTCCAAAGTCTCAATCAAAATTCAACGAAATATAGGTTAGCGGTTTGAGCGCGGGGAAACGGGAGACAGGATTAGTCGCATCTGATTGGCTAAAAATGAAACCAATCGCAGAGCAAGAACTCCGAATTCCTTTCGACATTCAATCGTAAATCGCTCCATGAGTCTTGAACATCGGGTAATCCCTGAGCGCCAAAATGGCTATAAGAAATGTTTCTAGTACGAATTCCTCAATTTTTGAATATATTTGGATGAATTAGTGATCATGATGATAAATAAAACTTTACATAACCCCCGCCTATTTTAGTAAATTTCTTATCTTCCGTGAACACGCCGCACACACCACCATTCCATATTTTCCTTAGCCTTTGATTGAGAAAGAACGGTGAAAAGAAATTCGTGTCATAGTTTCTCTCATGACTGAACGAAGCGCTACCAGCTAGAGCAGAGCCCTGGTTTGAACACGTCACGAAATGAAAGTGTACGTTTTGCATGACGAGATTAGACTTTCCATCTTCGTTAAAACGGCCTGAGTCCATGGTTAAAGGCCGCTTGTAATTGTTAGCCAGCGAAGCAAGCCCTGGGGGAAAGGAGGGGGGATTGGGGGGGAGCGGAATGTGCGAAGGGGAGAGGGACGGCCCTCCCTCTCCCCTTCGCACATTCCGCTCGCCCCAATTCCCCCTCCTCTCCCCCAGGGCTTGCTTCGCAGGCTAGTAATTCGTAAGCAAATGGTTTCGTATGAAATGGATGTGTCAAAAATGTCTATAACTAAAGGAAACGCCGCGCGACCGCAAACACCATTACACCACGTTCGTATCTCTATTTTTCCGCGAAATTCTTCCTTCGCAACGAAACTTCTATCACGTGTATTTCGGAAACGGGAAGCGGTTCTCCAATCTTCAAATTTTTCAGATAAGCCAATTTTACAATAATCTTCAAAATGAGAAAAAATGAAAGCATTCCTAAAAGGTCGAGTTAGCCTCCGGCGCCACATTATCGTATATATAGATTTTACCCATATCATTTTACTAAGTGAATTACGTTATTTTCAAAACAAACTGTTTTACGTCATCCGCTTCTGATATTCCTTACAAACCGGAAATCCCAAGCAATTGGTTAGAAAGAGCGAAACCAAATCCGCGTTTTCCGTTGCAGAAGCTAAGGAGACGCTGACGCTGCAGTTACCGACACTTGAAAGCAAACACGGCCAGCCTTTTATAAGCTCCAAATCTAAGAGATTCTCTGGACATTGCTGAGAATTATGGTCAGTCTGTACTAAACTTCTTTATTCCTTTGGATCGAGTGCTCTTTTTGTCGGCGGTAAATCGTGCGCCGCTAAGCTGGGGTTGCATGGAAGAGGTCAAACAAGCATCACGTTCAAATATGAAGGGGAATTTTGGGAGGGCAAAGCCGCAATAGCGCGAAAAAATATCGAAAAACATTGCACCACAACACAAAAGTGGGCGACAACCCTGCGCCGCAATGCCCACTGCAGTATCCGTGATTTAAAAAGTGCATATACTCAGACAACAATAGCACTGAACAGAGTTACATTTCACCCTTGTATGCATGGAGATTATGGATTTATAGATACGTAATACTGATTGCCAAGTACAATGTTAATTTCGTAGGTCGCATGTTTCCCTGCGTTTTATCAACTAATGATTTCAAGTCTTCAACATAAAACCGAACTGGGGGGGCAGAGATTTGATTGAACAATTGATAACTATGGCCTGTGTGTGGTGTTCCATATCATGTCGTNNGTCGGTGGGAGTAACGAAATAATTTGGATATATCAACAAAGTTGAAATGGTAAATTGGCCACCGTAACGATTACAAAAGCTGACGTTTCGAGCGTTAGCTCTTCGTCGGAGCGAATAGAGGAATTGTGGGTTGTGTGTGCTTTTAAAGGCAGAAAATGGAGTTACGTGATTGGTGGGAACATAGCAACGAGAAAAACACGAATAGATTAGTGGAATGAAAAGCGTTCGTTGATACCTAGTTATTCTTTTAAACAGAACAACAAGAGAAAGTTAAATTTTTTTCCGAATAGAACATGAGTTCAGAGTGAACAGTTCAGAGGATTATAAATGTTATACCCACTAGCCACCAGTTCATCTTTCAAATATTTTTCGCACGCGCGAAACTGCTTTTGACACGTCACACGACTCAGTATACCCCAGCGTGAATAGGAAATATCACTGGATATTCCCCGTGGTGATAGAGGACATTTTTTGTGTGTGCAATTGTTCATGCAGTCGAAAGAGAGAACGCCACCGAACTGGGTCAAATTCTCGGCCAAACAAATGAGTTGACTCCAACATATTTAAATTAATGATAAACGTGATAACCTGCATTTGGCTTCAGGATACTCGTGCACGTTAATTTGTCCGTGGAGATTATCTCTTCCTCGAAATAAGCAATTTCCGAAAGGGAAACTTGAGGAAAACTCTCCGCCTCGCGAGCAGATGATATCCGTGCACAAAAAAACATCCAATCGCATTTTCGTGCTAACTTGAAGCCATTCTTCACTGAGTAATATTTTTCGACCACAGTATTAGGTTGCGTTACGTAATCAGAAGCTATATATTTTCGTTTTTTCATGGGAAATTTATATCCGCTATCTTGTCACGAAACAAGGTCCATGTTTCTAGACTACCTGATGGCATATATTTCGCGATGGCTGGTGTGAGGCGTTTCTTCAATTTATTCCTTGTGGTGTTTCCATGTACTGATGTTTCCCGCTGGACATAAGTTCATATCAGGTCAATCCTAGTCCAGTCCGATCCATATTTTAAAATGGCGGGTAGCCAGCTTGTCAGTGTCCCCTGGGAGATTTAATCTCTTCCCGTCTCTATATTGGGATTGGCTGGTGTTTTTATGCCACGCATAATTAACGTATCATGTAACTAAGACCTCGAGGCTTATAATATTCCCTAAAGTCAACGTTAGCGCACGCGAGGGCAGTCGAAGAATTTAAGAGGGTAAAGTGCATATTTTGGGCTCAGATACAGTGATTTCTAGGCCAAGCAACGTCAAATATGGTGAGTGAGCTGAGAAAGCCGTAATTTAACAGAGTTTAGTTTATCTGACAGCATTAAAGCTTCGATTTGAAAGACGCGATCTCTTCATAGCTCTCGATGTTTCTATCATTACGCAAGGGAATTCATCCCTTCACTTAAAAATCTGTCTTAATTTCTTGCTGTTTGCACATCCTGTCGTCGGTAACAGTTTCTTGGGGAAATTTTTTCGGAATTAAAACGTTGTAGTAATAACTCCCTCGTAGCATTAAGCAATCCTAACAGATGCAAGCGTCATAGATTTCTGCAGAAGCCTCAAGCTACTACATTTTTCTTTTTAATACTTTAAATTTTTGCACAGGTAAACATCATTCCATATTGCGCTTTTTCTTTTAGTAAGCAGACTTGCTAGTTTTTGCAATATCTCTGATGTACTCCACAGTCCGCCATGAGACTCTAGGCACTAAAAAATAACCGGCATCGCTGATGAAGTTTTCAACGCCGAACGGGTGACCATAAATTGAAGATGTATGCAAATTTTGTAGTGTTTGTGTCATACAGACACAATGTCACTTCTCTGCTAGAATTCCTGATCCAGCTCTTTCCGCAACACCATTTTATCTAGACTACGTGAGTTTGTCCTAACTTTGACATCTGCGGAATCCGACATCTTTCTTCATAGAAATTCAATCTGTTAAGATTTTCCTGTAGCTTTCTATTGTTGGACGATGTCCTGCCTTGATGTCTCTCGCTGTTAAAACATTATTCAAGTACGTTGTGCGTACAAAGTTCGAGTGCATGTCCGTGATGTTTTCGCCGGATTATAAAAACAGTACTGTACAATACCGCAAATCTCTGTTTGTCGGCCAAGCTCGAACGACACGATTTCCAGTGTTCGAATGACGCTGCAGTTTCTCACGTACACAAAAGCCATCAGTTATTGCAGCGAGATTTTTTGTCCTAGAATTAAAGGTTCTTTAGACGCAAGGCTGAAAGCAGTCTTAAGCTACACATCCTTTGAGGTGGTCTTGCCATTAATTTAAGGATGTATTGCTCCAAGCTGAGGGTTTTCCGGGGTCCATACGCAACTGTATATTAGACACCCTAGCCCATAACCGTTCGGTATTTGGAGTATTGAGGGAAAAAAAATCAGGTTTGAGAGGGTTGTGAACTTGAGTTTTGTGACATCGATGCGAAAATCTTCAACCCTTGAGACCAAGGTCTTAAAATTTCGATTACGACATTTATTTATTTTTCTTTCTCAGCGTGAACTACAAAACTACGTAGAACGGATTGATGGCTACATTACGTAACAAGATACTCTTAAGACCATTTATAATTTATTCATCTGGGTTAGATCACAGGAATATTATTATGCAACAGCGCCATTCGTTAAGAGAAATTTATTGCTTCACTGAGTATATAGAAAAGAAAAATCAAAGGAATGTGGAATCAATCATCGCTTGATCTTGCCCAGCAGGAAATATTGCGTGGTTTCATATTTTTGTCATACACGAGGTTGAAGTTCACCTCACTTCACCTCCAAACCTCTCTAATTTTCAAATCTGAGTAGAATTGTGGAAGAGCGATGCGATGGATTCTGTCTCTCAAACTTTAAAGGAAACTAGTGAAAGGCGGGAGTTACCTAGAGTCCAACTTTTGGTAACCTTCCACGCGCAGTCTGTTGCGGATGTTGAGTGAACAACACGAAGAGCGATATAGGACGGCACGACAGTAGCGGAGGAATAATAATAATAATAATAATAATAATAATAAAAAACCGGAGATCTGGGTCGGATCGCTCTGCTGCTACTGTGGCGGATTTTACCATTCAGCCCTAGAAAGGGGGGAGGGGGGGTACCTTGCAATAGTATGCCGCTGGATGGGATCGCATTGTCACGACTGGATTGACTCTCACGGGGGTTGAATTTTCAATAGCGTTTTTAGAATAAGGTCGCACATTTTCGGTCTTTTGGGGGGTAATAAAGGTTCTGGTAAGAAGGGATTTAAAATTAGGAAGATTCTCCGATTAAAAACTTGGCATGGGGTCTATAATTGACCACAGAATAGACTTCAATGAGTTATGAGTTTTGTGAGGCCAGGGGCAGACACCCAGCAAAAATTGAACCAAGTTCACTCCCCTTTCCCACCCCCCCACATACTCGGTATTTAGCACGGATTGAATTAGGCTACTATGCGTAAAAGGCGTAGCAAACCGCCAAATATATTTTGTTTTACCTTCAATAAATCACAATTGTCTTCTCTACGCAGATTTCCTACACATTGTTGATCTCTTTCCTGTTTGGATTTGATGTGACTTGTGGAATAAATGCTGAATGCCGAACTCTACTTCAGCAACACACCGCGGTAAGTGCTATAGGCAGATTTGAAGGTGTAGTCTGATCGTCCGGGTGAGTGTAGTCCTGAGAAGGACTTTTGTCGGTGGTAGTGACTGACGTTTCGACAACCTGTGCGGAAGTCATCATCAGAGTCCAGTGAATGATTGTTGTTGTTGATCTCGCGCATCTTACTACCCTTCAATATCCGCGTCGCCCACAAACCCATCACCACACTACGTCAGTTACTAACCAACGTTAAAGACAAAGACGAACCGAGGAACAGACAGGGAACGATTTATAAGATCAATTGTTCCGACTGCCAAGCCTCCTACCTCGGTGAGACTGGCAGAAACCTCACAACAAGACTGACTGAACACAGACGGGCGACGAGGAAAGGTGATGTCAGCAATCACATTGCTGAACACCATCGACTTACCAACCACAACATTGACTGGGACTCTGCGCAATGCCTAACCTACAGCACTGACTATTTTCAACGACTGACTCTGGAAAGCTGGTTTACTAACTTAGAACAGACTCCCCTAAACAGATGTCAACAACTACCCGCCCCATACAAACGACTCATTCACGACATAAACATCACAAACGACCGAAAAAGAACGACCTAACTTTACCGACAGATCGAAACAGACCAATCACGACCGACTTACGTCACTTGAGTCTTACAGCCAATAACATCACGGCAAAACCAACCGATCATTTCACACGAACTGGAATAAGAACATTCTACTGACAACAATCACTCACTTGACNTGTTATTGGCTGTAAGACTCAAGTGACGTAAGTCGTTCGTGATTGGTCTGTTTCGGTCTGTCGGTAAAGCTAGGTTGTTCTTTTTCGGTCGTTTGTGATGTTTATGTCGTGAATGAGTCGTTTGTATGGGGCGGGTAGTTGTTGACATCTGTTTAGGGGAGTCTGTTCTAAGTTAGTAAACCAGCTTTCCAGAGTCAGTCGTTGAAAATAGTCAGTGCTGTAGGTTAGGCATTGCGCAGAGTCCCAGTCAATGTTGTGGTTGGTAAGTCGATGGTGTTCAGCAATGTGATTGCTGACATCACCTTTCCTCGTCGCCCGTCTGTGTTCAGTCAGTCTTGTTGTGAGGTTTCTGCCAGTCTCACCGATGTAGGAGGCTTGGCAGTCGGAACAATTGATCTTATAAATCGTTCCCTGTCTGTTCCTCGGTTCGTCTTTGTCTTTAACGTTGGTTAGTAACTGACGTAGTGTGGTGATGGGTTTGTGGGCGACGCGGATATTGAAGGGTAGTAAGATGCGCGAGATCAACAACAACAATCATTCACTGGACTCTGATGATGACTTCCGCACAGGTTGTCGAAACGTCAGTCACTACCACCGACAACAGTCCTTCTCAGGACTACACTCACCCGGACGATCAGACTACACCTTCACATGTTACCCCCGGGTTCAAACCATTTACTGCATAGGCTGATTTGCTATTTTACTACTTTTCTTCTTTTGTTCGGTCCTTATCCAGCCTTCTGTTTTCCTCTTAAGTCATAACAAAGCTCCAAGTGTTGCGTTATATTCTCAAGAAAGCCTGAAAGTTGAGAATCCACTTCTTTGTTTGGCCTTGTCACACAACGTGTTTTCTCGCGTTGCTTGTCGAGCCTAAAAGCATGTTTTGAAGAATATGAAGTGTCCAGTGAAAAAGCTAGTATGTCTAAACGATATTTACTTCTCCTCCTTTAATAGAAAGGTACCTGGGGTTACGTAAATTACAAAGACTTCAAAGGTGAGTTGGATTTTTGCTTTTCTTGTAAATCCGTTAATTTGTGTTCAGGAATCTAGTGTGGTCGCCGAGAGTTTCTCTCCTCGCGCGTTTTTTCGCCCCTTGCGCGTATTCTCCTTTCACGCGTGTTTCACCTAGCGCTCTCCTTTTATTCGCCTCGCGCTTTCCGCCTTTCCTGTTGGCTACACACAACATGAGAATTTTCACGTTAAGTCGACGGAAATCTTATTATTTTTCTCAGACAAGGAATGGAAATACCATTGCTTGTAACCTAGCTCTTTGATAGTGCTTAAAACTTGACATTACACCGGCAAAATTGATCTGAAAAGGAACCAGCTGTGACGTGGTCTTCGTTATGATCACGCAACGTCGTCAAATGGACTTGGTATTAAATGTGTTTACTTTCTTCCTCGATAGGAACAACAGTCACTCATCCTCCTTTGCCGCGCGTGTCTCCCTTTGCTTCAACCACCGAAGAAGAAATAAACAAACAAATCAACAGAGAGCTTTTTGCCAGTTACACCTATTTATCAATGGTGAGTTTTTAGGACAGACCTCGTACATGTAGCTTGCTTTACGATTTCTTTATTAACATAAAATTATTTGGCATGGAAACCGGACAGGGCTCGATACTAACGGTAGCCCACTAGCCACAGACTAGTAGAAATTCAGTTTTGGCTAGTGGTTTTCAATTTCCACATGCCAGTTTGGCTAGTAAACAGACTGAAATTGTCGCAACATCTAAAAACATCCAAGATGTCACTAGCCACTTGGCTAGTAAGTTGAAAAGTTAGTGTCGAGCCTTGTTGGAACCCTTTTTTTTTTTTCATCTTATTTTTGTAACTAGGCCACGCACTTTGACCGTGATGATATCAATCTGCCTGGGTTCCACAAATTCTTCAAGGAGGCTTCAGAAGAAGAACGCGAACATGCTACGAAGGTATTCCTGTTTTGACTCTAAATCATTTACACCCTAAAGTCAGTACGCTTTTTCTCCATACTATTCTCTACTTTCCAAGGCACTAACAAGGAGAACTTGAATTTGGCTAAAAATCAAGAGCTTCTTTAGTTGGTGATCAGTTCCTATGTTTTCATGGTATTAATGAACGGTTCAGTTGTGTTGTTGTGAGGAAAAATTAAGTGTTGGTCGCGTTTAGGGTTTTGAGGGTCAACCTTCAGTTAGAACTCACTCAGGAATACTGAGTGTGGTAAAAGCGAAATAAAGTTTTTGACGCCTAGTTTTCTAGTAATAGTCGTTGCTCAATTGTTTCTCGCTTTGCTTTCAGTTGATGGAATACCAAAACAAACGCGGTGGCCGCGTCAGGCTTCACGGAATTATGGTAAGTTTTAAGAGTTGGATTAATGACAGCAAATGCTCACCCACCCCTACCCTAACCCAGCATTACCTCCAACTATTCATCTTTAGGCTGTTGGATGACATTGATCTAAATACTTTATACTTCCATCTCGAAGTCGCTGAAATTTCCGTGAGATTGTTGAATGAAGCGGTCAACTAGAAACTGCTCTCGGAACGAAGTAGAGCATGCGCAGTGAGCCGTCATGGCCGCTGTTGATTAATACGTAGTCGCAATCATACGCATGACAGTTAAATTAAATGATTTTCTGTTCCGCGCGTTTCCTTGGCAGAAACCTTGCAACGATCAATGGGGAAACGGACTGGAAGCCATGCAAGATGCCTTGGCCTTGGAAAAAGACGTGTACCAGGCATTGCTTGATCTACACAAGATAGCATCATTGAACGATGATCCACAGGTAAGCAGTATTCATTAAATTAGAGCACTTTTCGATTGAGAGTCGTAAAACCAAAACCAAGGTAATCACAACGGCCAATCAGAGGAAGAGAAATACCTTGAAGAACCAATGAGAACTCAAGATTTAAAAAAAAAAAAAAACTCTTTCAAAAGGGCGGGGAAATGCGGCCGAGCAAGTCGTTATGGGTTTTAGTTTTCCATCTGATTAGATGAGCGAGTGGCGCGAGTTTTCTGGACCAATCACAGAGCGAAGTAAAGCAAAACCAGTGCAATCTCGGATTATATTCGATACTGAATTAAAAAGTGCACTTATGTGTTGCTTGCACCTGGGCTTTATAAGGAGCTCATGTGATTGAATCTTTCTTCCTCCCTCCCCAATTCTCCTCCCCCCCCACCCTTTTAATAACCTCCTTATTTTATTTTTTTAACAGTTACAAGACTTCTTAGAGTCCAATTACCTTGGTGAACAAGTGGACAGTATCAAGCAGCTCTCCAACTACGTTAACACCCTTAAACGTATGGCAAATGCAGGAAACTATGCTCTTGGCGAATATCAGTTTGACAAGATCACCCTTGGTGGAGGGGACGTTAAGTCCTAATTTTTTTTCAATATATCACCTTTTGTGGACTCGGATTGACTTCGTTTTTGATTTTTTTTTTTTTTTTAATAATTTGTAATCAATATCTGGTGCAATTTTTTGGATTCGGTTGGTAGAGGTATTTAGATTACCGACCGTAGTGAAGTTAGTGATTTTAAAGAAGCGTTTCATGGGAAGTGTTGGTATCCTAGGTATGCTCAGTGTCAAATAACAACTTGGTGTGTCTAGCAGTTTGTTGAATCCAAGCTTGCTCATATAGGGGACGCCTCCTGGAGAAAGGAGCGTCCTGCCGAGCCATCACTAGCTTGCCCATAGAGGACGCCTCCTGGAGAAAGGAGCGTCCTGCAGAGCAATTACTGAGAGCTTGTTACGCCGGGACAAGAGAACTCGGCTGTGGTTGTTGAATTCAGTGGCGGGTATAGGGGAGTGGCGCGGGGGGCCTGGGTTCCCCCCCTTATTTTGAGTTTGAAAATGAGCGTAGAGAGAAGAAAAGCCGGTAGCTGAACACACACAAACAAAAACACCTCCCTCCATCCCCTCCCCCCCCCTCTCCACTTAGCTTAAGGTTTGGATCCGCCACTGGGATTTAAGTTGGGGAATTGTCTATTTTGTGAGAGTTGAACAGTGAATGTATTCTACAAAATTGAAGAGATTTTGGGATATGATCTTTTGATACCATAAGTTTAATATAGTTTTTTTTATTTGTCGATGTTTTGCAACTGAATTAATAAACGGTTAGTGACAAATGTTTCAAAATTTAGTCTTTCATTTGTTAATCCTCCATCTTTAACTCTTTGACTCTATGCCAAGAGTGAGCAGCACCTTAGTTTCTCAACCTCGTTCCCAGGGTCTCTCTTCCCTAACTCCAGGTTGCGAGGAGATGAGAGACCCTGGGAACGAAGTTGCTAGGTTATCGTTACAACATTACCCTTGAATCACACTTAAAAGTCACGGGGGTAAATGATCACCAACGAAGGATTGTTCAACCAAAGATTGTTCAACAAATTCTCCTTGTCAGTATCTTAGGAAATGTAAAGCGAACCGTATCGAGGACATGCACACTGTTGTTAGGTATCAAAAGTGATCTTTCCTCGCAGTATTGTGGTATTATTATTTCTCTGATGATTTTATACTGCAGCAGACTATTATTTGTATGATTATTCTAAATAGGAAAACCACTCAGTAAATTGCGCACCGCGACGTTTTCCTGTACTTTCTTTGTTTCCCGCGAGGTGAGAACGTTTCAAAATGATTTCCTTGATAAAGTTAAGAACAGAATGAAGCAATGTTTTCTTCTTTACGCCTAGCACCTGGCAGAGTACTTAACGCTGTCCTTTCTTAGCCCGCTCCTTCCCCCGTTCCCTCGCCTCATCATCACTCCCTGTGCAGTGAAAAGTTAGTTACGACGTGGTCGGCCTGGACACTAGCAACGGGTAGCCCCACGAAATGAATGATCAGTCAGAAATAAATACCAACCCACACGTGTAGGGAATATTTTGCTAAATGGCTTGCTGATTTGCTAAACATTGGCCACAGTTGACAATAGCCATTTAGCAAAATATTCCCTCCAACTGAGACTTGAACATGTACAAATAAAACGGATTTTAAAAGGAGCTCACTTTCTTGCATCTCCTACTCATCGCATAGTAACAGCGGTAGTAGTAGTAGTAGTTATTGTTTATTTAATGTGGCACCACACTTAGCTAGCTACAAGCTGCTTTCCAGGAAGCCCACAGCAAACTAGTCAATAAAAAAATTCCAACCTACATTAAGAATTATGTACATTAAGTAAATTATTATTACAAAAATGATACCGCAAATATAAATATATATTTGTATACATGTGTAGTAAAACAAAGATAAAAAAAAACTTAAAAAAAATCGCATAAATAAACATGACACGCATCGAAATGGATCTCGATATCTAGAAGCTTAAAAAAGTTGTTACTCGCCAGAACAAAGCAGTGACGTGGGTCCTTGTGAGCAGGCTTTCACATGTGGCGCTTCGGAGCGACTGTTTCGAAAGTACGGTCTTGCTGTTTGTGGTAAACATAAAAGAAATAAAAACTATGAACTTTCAGAGCCATCTTGACCCTTATCAAGTAAAATTTACTTTATTATTAGTTTTGTAGAGAAAACAAAGTACGAAAACAAAAAAAATTTTCAAAACACTCGACATTGCGATTGCAAGCTACTCGTCATATCTAACCACGTCATTGCCAAATGACCACCCCGCACGTTGAAATATATAAGCCTTGTGTGGAGATGTTTGTTGCAAGCGGATTACCGTGTTAAAGGTCAACCGGAAAAACACCGGTAAAAACACGCGAATTTCGATTTAGCTCTGTTCTTTGCCATCGTCACGTATAATTGGCAAGAACGACAACTGATATATACTTTCCCAAAATTAAAGGTAAGTGTTGCGTCCTAAAATGTGACTTTTTTGGTCATCATAGGGGTCAAATGTTTACCTATCTCCATCCGAGGGGAATTCTCGCAAAAGAAATTCGTCAAGGGCTGGTATGCCCAGTCTCTAGTCACTCTTCACTTTTGGTGACGTTAAACTGATTTTATTTCGAGGTGAATCATTCAGATATGTAATAATTATAGAATTGTTGAGTCTCACGTCTCACCGTCACTCTATTCCCAGACGTTTCTGGACGCCACAAGATAAAATTCACAATTATTTAACATTGGCACAAAACTAGTTGCCAAATTTATTTTTGATCCACCGAAAAAATACGAATGAAAAAAAGAAAATTTTAATATCGCTCTTTTGGGAAACTGAATTTTGGGTTTCAAAATAAGGATATTTTAAACACTAACGAATTTGTCCAAAGGGGTACGATCGTCTATGGAAAACGTTTATCGGCGAGTGCCTTTCTCGTCATAAGTTGTACTTCACAAGGTTGATAATACATCCATGTTGATATTACTCACAAGTCAACAACTTGTCAGTACAGTTTGTCTTTTATCTTGTGATAGGATAGCATATATTGCCATGTTGTTACAGCTTTCTACATTTTTCACCGCAATTTTGTATTCTTGCGCATTTAACGTACTCACCGGAGATCCTGCGAGAGATTGTGGACAACATTTTACCTCCATTTATCAGGTAAACTCCCTATGATTTCACGCAGTGCAGAAAAGCGCAAAGAAAATTTCCTATCATGGACACTAGTGGCCGATTTGCGATTTTAAACACTAGTGGCCGATTTTGGATTTTAGACACTAGTGGCTTTCAATGCTGAATGCGCTGTCGTGTAAAAGAGAAGTCTCACCAAAATAGAATTGTAATAAAATGAGAAAATTACTTGTTTTAATTTTTACAGCCAGCAAAATTAAAATTAGAAGGAGCCTAGTTTAATCAGTGTTGGAGCCTAGAAGATACACTGATAGAAAGAAATTGAGGTTCTTGATCTAGCCTCTTTATTTATTATCATGACAGAGCTGAAGAACGTCAAAGGTATGCGGTCAACAACGCGGGCTCAGGCGTGCGAGGTTTAAAATCTATCGAAATTTGCGAAAACAACGAGGAGCTGGCATTTAAAACCGAGGCATTTTGTTGTCGTCGAAGGCATTTTTCTATTTCCAGAGTTTTTAAGGATAAAATTAATTTTCGAAATTTTTAGAGGTATACAAAGTTTTGGAAGTTGTTCTGCAAAAGAAAACTTTCAAGGAAAACAACTCTTCGAACCAACATAATAGAAAATCAACCATACCGTGACGAACGACTCAAAATCTGTGTTTCCGCGCCAAAACCTGACACGTGCGCATACGTTATTCAGCTCTGTCTGATTATCATTACTATTACTATCGTTGTCATGAATTTATTTTTGTCAATTTTGTCAATATGCCTTTATTTGTTTCCATCTAATTACTGCTTGAGTATCAATAAGTCACATTTTCTTGAATGGTTTTTCTCTTACTATTACTATCGTAATACTACCATAAATAGGGACCTTAAGCAACCACGACGGCGACGGCAACGAGGACGTGGAAAAACAATAGATCTAATTGGCAGAACAATAGCTCAGCACGTGCGTTTTGAAACTTTGTACATTTCTTAGCCGTCCTATGCAAAACAACAACTTGAAATCGCCAAAATTTGCGTCGTCTGCGAACCGAAACCGCGACGGCAAATTATTTTAATTTCCATTTGGAACTCAACGCCACTTTTATACGTCATGCTGAAGTTGAGCTGTGGCGCCATATGAGACAGTAAGCTCCTGCAGCAATGTTTGAAATTCTAACTAAGAGTAGAAATTCATTTTTTAATCGGAGTCTTCCTTGGCGTTGCCGTCCTGACTGCTTAAGGTCCCTAACATGTGGGTTGCGACAGTAGTAGCCATATGCATGCAATCTGAACCACCTTTTTTTTTTCTTTTTTTTTTTTTTTTTTTTTTTAGCAAAGTGACGACATCAACCAAATTCCAAAGGATGGTGAGCCTTTTCAGGATCAGGTTAGACAGCCATTTTCTCGATTTAGTGAAATATTTAGCAAAAAGAAGGATACATTAGAAGGACTAAAAGCTGTGACGCACGGGCTAGACAGGACAAGGCGTGTGCAGTGGGAAAACTTACAGTGTTACCCAGCTTTTTGTTCTTACTACTCATCTTTCCGTTGTGATCATCCATTTATCCGACAAACATGTATCCACTATATGTAAAAAGATTAACAATCAATTTAAAGTTATGCAAAGATTCCGAAAACTCTTCGCCGAAGACATGACTCTATTAAAGCTGTATAAGGCCTTCATCCTGCCGCATTTTTATCACTGCTCCTCTGTGTGGCACTTTTACGGCACCCGCAATTCTGGTAAAGTGGAGGCCTTAAACAAGCGGATTTTAAGGTTTCTTTCACAAGATTATGAATCCTCGTATGCTACGTTACTGGATAAGGTCAACTTAAAAATTCTTCAAGTCAGACGCCTACAGAATGTTCTAATCATATTGTACAAGAGATTATTTTTTACTAACTATCCAGGATATTAAAATGATATGTTTACGTTTAGATCTACGTCCTATAACTTACGTGGTAGTTACATCTTGTCCCTTCCAAAACCTAAAACTACAACTTGTGGCCTTCACTCTTTCTCTTACTTAGCTGCTAACTTATGGAACCCTCTCCCGGACACCTTTAGAACTTCCAATTTTCCAGACTTTCGGCGCCAAATACTTCAGTTTGACTCCTAGGTCATTCATTCATTCATTAATTCATTCATTCATTCATTCTTTCATTCATTCTTTCATTCATTCATTCATTCATTCATTCATTCATTCATTCTTTCATTCATTCATTCATTCTTTCATTCATTCATTCATTCTTTCATTCATTCATTCACTCTTATTATAGTACTACTTTAACGGTAGATGGTGGCTCTCATTCTAATATAAAGTTTTCGACTCAGAAATACAAAATCAGGTTACTTTAATTTTCTCTCTACTGGCTTCACAGGCATGGGCATTTGAAGACGTTTATGATCAATTTGGTGAGTTTGGTCAAAGGAATTCATTTTCCTTGTTAAGGATGAATCCGTGATTTCATACTTTTCCTTTGCTTTCCTATATCCAATCAAGCTAAGTCATCACACTACCACTTTTAGAATTGAAGGGGGCGGGGGGGAGGGAGGATAAGAAAGCAAGACTGGGGAGAGCGAAGAAGAGTCTCGCCTTTCCACTTCCCCTTCTTCACAACTCCTTACCAGGTCCCAGCCGTTCTTCGCTTCTTAGCCTCTTCGCTCTTCCCCAGAGACCAAGAGGCAAGTACAGGCCAAAGAAAGTCGTTTCATTGTAGGAATTCAGAGGAATCAGCTCGCCGTTATTGTCGAAGGCGAGATTAACAAGCAGATCAACAAGGAGCTATTTTCCCACTACAGCTTCCTTTCTGTGGTAAGTACTGAATCACGCTTAAAGTTAGAGATAGATAAGGCGTTCTAGCTTTTCTCATATTGCACGTGGAATTCCACGTGTGACCTCGTACTCGTGAACGCGTGCAGGTTACAAATTGTATCCCGTGCTGTGGTTGAACAACACTGACAGTCAGTTTGGAGAGTCGGTCTGAGGGGGAGAGGGATGGGGGAAATTTGAGCTCTTTTCGTGAGTGGCAGGTAGTTAATGAGCAAAGTTTTAACTTTATTAAAGACAAAAGAGTTGTATAGTTCTTCTCTCTACCTAAGACTGTTAAGTTTTTTCCGGGCCGCTACTCCTTCTAAGTTGCCCACTAATAATTTCTTCCCGTGACTGAAGGCGTTCCATTTTTATCGCGATGACGTTCATCTCCCTGGTCTCCGTGAGTACTTCAAAGCAGCTGGTGATGAAAGTATGAAGCATGCGCACAAGGTAAAACATTGTTTACTAGAACGAATGATTTCCAAAGAGCAAGAAAGCGAGTTTATCTAGATCTCGCTGGATTAGAATTATCTGAGAAGTTGGTAAAGCTTTGTTCCTTACGCTAAGAACTGCCATGGGAGCCTAAACAAAAACAATTATATCGAGTAAAAGAAAATGATGGCGAATTAGTTCGCGGCAAGTAGAAAAATGCAAAGGACCTCTAAAAGCGTAACAACGCAAGTTTCTGTTTCATCATTGATTCTATTCCTCGCATTTGATTGGTTGAGGACGTAGATCAAGATTTCTCGACCAATTTCATAGAGTAGAAGTGAAGCAAAAGCAAAACAATATATTTAAAAGAAACTGTTCCATTACTTAGAAAATTTGAGCGTGATCATACTCGTGAGCCAGTTTCAAATAAGGTGCAATACTTGTGTTACTAAGAAACTGATACGTTTAATTTTTACTGACCTCGAGATATATATACACTGCATGACGAGGAGCTGCTAACATGTTTTATTTTACATTCCTTCCTCAAAAACAGCTTATGGAGCACTTGCTGAAACGAGGGGGCCGTCTTAAGCTGAATCCAATAATGGTGAGCTGGTGGGGGGAGGGGAGGGGAGGGGTGGTGGCCGGTGGGGCTGACGTTAGTGGGGGTCAAAATGGGGATATACTCGAAGTGTAGAGCTCGCTGGAAAATTCCTTCAACGTAACTGACAGGACAAATAATACCGTAAACTATGGGCAATGCGTTGAATTATCAATGTTTTTTATGTTGTAAACTTAAAAGGATGTATCTTACAAAGGGGCGGGCACTGTCATTCCAGAGGTGCACCCCGCAAGTTACCACGTGGCCTTGTAAACTATTACTCATAATGGACGTACACAACCATAATTAAGAACAATAATGATAACAAGCAGTTTTCCTCATTCAGCATTTCTTTGGTAGATTCCATGTCATCATCATTGGGGACGGGGACTGCAGGCAATGGAAGATGCCCTGACTTTGCAGAAAGAACTTTTGCAATCTCTGAGGAGATTGCATGCTTCAGCTGACGAGAGAAACGATTTCCAGGTCTGATTTCTTTGCTTCGTGCTTTTCAAAAACTGTAAGCTAAATCCAAAAACTCGCTCCCAGGTTCTATCCTCTTCTAACTCTCTGGGGCATCCCTTAGAACGAGGTTGTACTTGTTACCGTGCATTTTCTGTTTTGTGACGTCACGAAACTCAATGCAAGACAAATCAACAAGACAATTGCAACAAGACAAATCAACAAACGAACCAATAAGAGATCAGAGTAAACGCAAGATCGGTAGGAAGCGCGGGAAAAAGCATGTAACTTAAGACGCGGTTAGTTTTGGTTTTGCGTGATGTCACGTGGTGTGTGTTGTAAACTTTGGACTTGCGATTAGCATGGGATGATCGTCGATCGAGATAGTTTGTAGTCGGTAGTTTTTGTCATCAGTTACTCTCTTTAAAGTCCAAATGAATAAAGGCTGGTAGTTTGTTTGGGGCTGCGTCGGTGGGGGTTACGAAATAATTTGGATATATCAACAAAGTTGAAATGGTAAATTGGCCACCGTAACGATTACAAAAGCTGACGTTTCGAGCGTTAGCCCTTCGTCGGAGCGAATAGAGGAATTGTGGGTTGTGTGTGCTTTTAAAGGCAGAAAATGGAGCTACGTTATTGGTGGGAACATGGCAACGAGAAAAACAAGAATAAATTAGTGGAATGAAAAGCGTTTGTTGATCCCTGTGGGATTTAGACTGCCAGTTTGAAAGATGAGCTTTTGTTCAAGATTTTTACGGGTTTCCGTGGTACCTAAGTGTAAGGAAAGACCGCAGATCTCTTTAAAGTCGTTGAGTTGAAAATAGCAGAATAGCAGAATCATCACTGTTGTGGAAGAATAGGTACTGTAGTGTAAGACATATGTTTACTTTTGATACAAGAGTACACTCTTCTGTACATCATAGTATTTCTAGAGAAAAAAATTCTGAAAGCGTCTCTTTTTATTCCACAGACAAGGGATTTTATCGAAGCCAATTTCCTCCGTGCGCAAACAGACCGAGTCAAGCAGCTGTCGGACTACGTCAGCACTCTCAGAAGGCTTGGTCGCGATCCTTTGGGGGAGTATTATTTTGACAAGATGGGTTTAGAGGGAATTGTCTTACAGTGGGGAGCAGAGATGAAGAAGTAGAAATGAGGGTTTTACATTTGTTTTTATAAGAAACTGACAAAATGAATGATTAATAAAGGAAATTGGTTTCTCAGATAATTTTGAAGCTTGCCTTTCTATGAAAGTCAGAGTGTTCAGCGGAATCCACCAGGTTGAAAGAGGGGGGCAGGGAGAGGTGTAGAAAGGAGGGGGTAGGGGTGAAATCGGACGCGCGAGAATACCAGTAGGGGGGGAGGAAAGGGTGAAATTGGACGCGCGAAAATACCAGTAGAAGGGGAGGAAAGGGTGAAATTAGACGCACGAGAATGCCAGCAGGGTTTTGTCATCTCAAGCGAGTTTTTTATCGAGTAGTTCCCGCTTCTATCGTTACGCGTTTACAAAAACACAAAATTCGACCAAAACAGAAAACTGCATGTAAAACCGTCTAAACTGATACATTTTCACGTCTTCAGTAACTACTACAACCCTAATCAATCCGATACAGTGGTAACAACTACAGCATACAGAGGTTTCGCGCGGCTATTCGAGATCAGTGGAGGCGTATAATTGCCGCTCAGCTCGAAGACAAACCCAGCGCCCAAAAAGGAAAACCGAAAACCACATCGGATACCGGTACCAAATCCGAAGGCCCGTTAGTATTTTTGACGAAAACCGGACACCAAACGCTAAAAAAGCGGAAAATCCGCAAACTGCAATGAACACCAAAACCGAAAAACCGAGGTTTCTTGCATGAAAACCACGAAACCGCTCTAAGAATAGGCAAAACCGCAAAACCAAAGATCCCGATTGTCCCCGGGGGATATTTTGCGCTTTGAGTTTGCGCAAACACAAACATTATCCCTGAGTCTTTGAATGTTGTCCTTCAGTAACATTTTGGATAAAACAATAAAAACACTAATGTGGTCTTGAATTACCGTAAAATATTGTAGAAGTCCGAGCTTTCGCCTCTCAACGGCATCATCAGGGACGGATAAGATAAAATGTTCCGCGAGGGCCGAATAAAAGGGAGAAAAGTGTCACTATACTAATGAGCTAGTGTCACTGCTCCGCGAATTCAATGCATTCTTCTCGGGAGTTAAATCGTTACAATGGAAAACAACCCGGCAAACTTCCGCCTATTTGAAGCGTTTTACATAAGGAAAAGCAAACCTACACTTAACTTCCGAGAAGAATGCATTGAATTCGCGGACCTATTGTTCTAACGCCTCCCATATCACATTGGATCCCCCCACAGTGACACTAGCTCACTAGTATAGTGACACTTTTCTCCCTTTTATTCGGCCCTCCGTCCCTAATGATGCCGTTGAGCGGCGAAAGCTCGGCGGTCTACTGACTATGATTTTACAGTAATTCAAGGCCACATTAGTGTTTTTATCGTTTGATTATCCCTGAGTATTAAAGGCAGTCCATCACTTCATAAATAGCTTCTCGAATCGTCCTTCTCCATTGGTCGGATTTGTCGAAGCACTCAGGTGGTTTGCAACCAATCTCTAGAGACACAGATAATAATGGTGAAATGAACAAATGTTGGTGGACGAACAAAAGAAGCTTATGAGATATCCATTGTTTACGTCCACCAACATGGCGGCCATGACGCAACGTGCAAATCACCTATTGCATCAGACACGTCGGTGAAGCGAATCATCAACTACGCCACAATTTTTGACCGATGATCTTGTTTGATTCACTAACTACCACACACACGGATTACTTACATGAGCCTGAGATCATCTGTTTTTTTCTGCCTTCGACGGCAGACTGAAAACAGAGGTTCTTTCAGTTCGCCCTTAACTCCACTCAGTTGTTGTCATGGAGTAAAAGTTCAGTTTTGCCAGCCACAGGTCGTTTTTTTTTTTAAGTCCCATGATATTTTTCCCGAGGTCTATGGTCTTATTTAGATATTAGTAAAATCAGATGCTTATCAGCTGTTTTTCGTCATGACGTTTGCCAGCCAGCTAAGTTTAGCTTCTGAGGCGGCCGTTTTTAGAATTGGCATTCCTGACTTTTGGCAACGTTGCATAAATACTTTTCGAATATATGGGTTTCTCTCGACCTGCAAGATTAAAAACAGGTGAGCTAACTTGCATGAATGCATTGAGAAGTGTTCTATCGACAACTAAATTGACTACACTTTTTTTTGCGCGCTCTGTTGTAACGGATATCCACTATCGGCCTTTATCGGATGCATCTGCTTCTGCCCATATCTTTATATCTGTAAACACTTGAAGGGTGCTGAAAGCCTAAATGCGTAAGGTGATATTCAGTTAGAATCGGTAGATCGGAAACATTGCGTGCCGTATAAAATTTAATTATATACAAGCCAAATTTTTCGCGTCACATACCGCAAAATAGGATCGAGTATTAATGGTAAGATGACGTACCACTTTTCCACGAGAGAGGGCCCTGGAAACTAGGTCATCCAGTTGACCCAACTCTCCCCTCCCTTCCCGCCACCATTTTCGAGGAGATGAACTAAATAATCTACGTCTAGTTATGCTTGATGTCACAGCAGAGCTACAAAAAGATCTTCAATTTGCTCTGTGCTGTCGACATAGAGTCCTGGTGAAGTATCAAGGGCCATTTTTCTCTCCCTTCGTCGCAGAAATTACTTACTCAAGCAAAACAAATTACATCACGTCGCATTTTTGTTTCCCCCCATTACACAGCAGATTTGCTTCTCACGTGCCTTAATGACGACATATTTGAAAAAAATTAGCCAATCAGTGTTTGATGCTATCAATATCTTATGTCACATGATTATGGGGCTTATAAACTACAATTTTCAGCAGAAACTCCATCTTGGATTGTTTCGCTTCAACAGTGATTGAACGAGGCAGTTAACGTTCGAGAATTTTACAATTTTAACACCGTATTTTCCTGATCTCTACCTCTACGACCATCGAAATGTCTCTTTGCCGACAGGGATACCAAGAGGAATGCGAGGCTGGCATTAACAAGCAAATCAACCTCGAGTTGTATGCAAGCTACGTGTACATGTCCATGGTGCGTACTCATTTCAACTTTGCTACTCCTTTGTGATCGATTGTTTTAATCGATGTAACGATTTCGTTCTTGTTCTTTAGGCCTACCACTTCGACCGTGATGATGTAGCTTTGCCCGGATTCCACAAGTTCATGCTGAAACAGTCGGATGAAGAACGCGAGCACGCCCAGAAGGTAAGCTTCAAGAGACGTTTTGATCTCAAGTCTTCGTCTCTTTGTAGTCTGACCATTCTCTCTCGATTGAATTTCAGTTGATGGCTTATCAGAATATGCGGGGTGGACGTATTGTGTTGAAAGACATCAAGGTGGGTGGTTTGTTTAATATTTTCTGGTAGGGCATGCTCTCAATACGACGTTTCGTGCCCTCTCAACTCTCCCGAATCAGTCTTTCAGTAAACAGGTTTCTTCTGCATTTCAACTAGAGCGACTAAGGGGGCGCCTAATTGAGCCCATACTAGAATTCACCATTAGGCATATGAGGTGTTTATTCTCTCGTGTTAGTGTTGGCATCACTCCAGCGTGGCATTACGTAATGCATATAGGAACGTACTCTCGTAGCACGGATCGTTTCCGAACATAATCTAAAAGTAGGCAGTTGATGTTTGACACCATTTGGTCAAAATTCGTGTCCCCAGAGCTTAATGAAAAGTTTTACGTTTTCTTAGCTGAAACCACAAACTCGAATCAAGTTGCGAAGAGAACTGTTGGTTTTCACACGCTGTTCGGCGGAACAATAAATCCGTGTGAGGCAAAATGTTAGTTTCAGATCGACTGTTTTTTGAAACAGAAATAAAATCTTAATGACCAAGCTTATTAGAATACTCGTCCTATAAAAAGGTTTGAACTCGGAAGGAACGAACTTTGAAATGAATCTTTTCGCAGCCTTGAAATCAAGATGTATCAACTGAGATAGCGCTTTATTTCTGATAGTGTTACAGAGGAGCAGTGGTCTAGTAGTCTACCCCTTAATATTGGATAGATTGTATGAGTGACAAACTATATTACTGAAAAAATTATTACGCAGAACCAATAAACATTCTTTTTATTTGGAAGAACGTTGCCATGTGTTAGAAGACAAATCTCAGGCACGGTTTGTCACCCACTCCCTTACATTTTAAAGGAGAGAAAAACGGCTAGTTACTGAGTGTGAACCAAAGTTGTAATAGTTCAGTACATAGAATCCTAAATGAAACAGTAGTGAACAAATTTTTCGATTACTTTGCAGAAACCAGAGCAAGATGAATGGGGAACTGGTTTGGAGGCAATGAAAACAGCCCTGGATTTGGAGAAACATGTCAACCAATCTTTGCTGGATTTGCACAAAGTGGCTGATAAGAATGGCGACCCTCAGGTAAGGATTAGTCAGATCCCATTTGTTGCTATGGTGGTCAGTCTTGTGAGCATTGTCACTTGTACCTGGTGGGGGAGAGAGAGAGAGAGAGGAAGTTGTTTGTATGAGTATTCTGGTCAGCTAAGTTGTGTTAGCCTTGTAGCTGATGCTAAGCTCTTTCTTTCGTGCACTGTGCTGGTTAGATAAAGCTCAGACATCTTAACTGCTAGCAGCAATTTTGTCAATTCTCTCACTGAGGCATCTGTGAGCTGCCCTTTTCAAACAGTTCTCCATCCCACAGAAATGTGCAGGAACTCAAATTCTTGTTAACTCTCTTGTTAGACTTCTTATAATTCATGAATTTTTTTTAAAGTTAAATGCATCAATTTTAGTTGACAGACATCATTGAAGATCTCCTGAAAGAGCAGGTTGATTCCATCAAGGAGTTTTCTGATCATGTGACAAACTTGAAACGTGTTGGATCTGGACTCGGAGAATTTCAATATGACAAAATGACATTAGACTGCGAATAAGTTCCTGTTTGCTTTTAGTTCCTATCACATTAAGTCATGCAGAGTTAGCTTCACATTTTTAGGTTTCATGTACTAGCATTGTCATTTAGGGTTCGGTCTCAATTAACTGCCTAGCAGAAACAATCCAAGAGTGAATTTTGTGCAACAGGAATGAGTAAATGTCTTTATCTTTTAATTGGTGGATCAAGTATTGAGTAAATGTATTATCTTTTAATTGGTTGATCAAGTATTTAATAATGGCGGACAATATATGTAAACCAACCTTCAATAATATATTGGAAGTTAATTATTCTCGAATATGAGTCAGAAATGTCTTTTTTGGTAACTTTCATATTTATTTGTAATGATCAGGATCTATTGGAAAAATAAACTGGATGTGTCAAAGAATTCTGAGAGATGTTTGATGTGAAGTTGTGCATTCTTTGCTTTGTTTTTCTACTGCTTTGCTTTGCATTTGTTTGTGTGGCTGAGCACTCAGTAATTTTGCTGCTTAAGTTTCCCACACAGTAGCACCCATAAGGCTTTTTAAATTTCAGTTCAGTAGTTTTTAAACTACTATTCTTATCTGTTATCTCCTGGATAGATGATGGACTTCCTTGAGGGCGAGTTCCTCAAGGAGCAAGTGGAATCTATCAAGCAGTTCTCTGACTTTGTCACCAACTTGAAACGTGTTGGTCCAGGACTGGGTGAATTCCAGTTTGATAAGCTGACGCTGGGTGATGATGACTAAGCGTTCAGCAACATCCCTCTTCAACCATATGGGCTTTAGACATTAATATACTCAAACTGGATTTGCCATTCTGTTACCTTTTCTTTTTCCTTAAATTTTTTTGTTTCATATTTTTTGTTTTGTTTTGTTTTTTTTTTTTCACAATTAAATTACTGTCAATGATAAGATTTCTGCCCATATGCTTGTCAAAGGTTGAACATTAAAGAAAAGAGGAGAGCAATCATATGTGTTTGTCAACTGTGTTCCCTTCTTGAGCTGTACATCTGCAAGCAGAATTTTTTTCCTTTTTCGAAAGGAAATCTGACAAGAAGAAATAGAAACTTAGCAACTTTATCCTTTGGTTTCGTTCCCACAAAGAGTAAATGGGTTGGAAATAGTATTGACCCATGACACCGTAACATCAGTATGCATATTCTCTATACTGTTCTCTATACATTTCCTAAGGTGCCGACAAGTAGAATTTGTTTAACAATCAAGAGTTTCTCTAGTTTATGATCACTTCCGTATTCTTGTGACCCTACTGTTAGATTCGGGAGAAATACTGTCACGAGAGAAATACTGTCACGAGAGAAAAACAAGCCAACAACTCCTACATCACTAAATCATGTTACATACCTGACAACAACAACAACAAACTTCTGATTACAGACATACATAATTGAAAATTCTTATTACAAAATTACATGAAAATGGTTTGCCCTACAAATAGCTAAGAAGCTAGTTGCAGTGGGGCAAAACAAGAACATGATTAAAATAAGTTATGGAAGAATAATAAGTAAGGCAAACCTAAGTTAATAGAAAAAAACCTTATAGATTGCAACTAGAGATAAAACAGAAGTTACAGATGAACAATGTGTAAAGACAAGGAGTTGTAAAAGGAAAACAGATGTGAAATGGGACCCTCAAGCATGCATTTCAGTGATCATACCTTTTTAATAATCATGGAGATTTCAATATACTCATCCTCCTTTACAAATATATCCAGTAACAATTTGCAGAGTTCTTTTTTGAAAGCTTTCTTTGGGAGATTGGTTATGTAGCTTGGTATCCCATTCCACGGTTTAACTCTGAGCGGAGAAAAAAGAATTGTTTCGTATTTCAAGTCTAGAATATTTAACATAAACCTTGCCAGAGGCAGAAGATTGTGTATTGTATCGAGTGGAAATTAGATGCTTTCTAAAATGAATTTAACATGTTTGCTGGGGCTTTACCATCATTGATATCATGCATTAAGATTGATATGGACTCATAGTAAAGAAAAGTTACTGGGAGCATGTTAGCTTCGAAAAAAAGAAGAACTGCATGGTCATGCCATTCGGCACAGTATAATAAATGAAGCACTCTTCTGAAGAATTAGTAATTTGTTAAGACAAGTCTTGCATGCTTGACCCCAGGTTGACTGTAAGTTAAATAAGGATGAATTAATGACTTATTGATGTTAAGTAGTTAAAGTTGAGGTACAAAATGGCGTAACTTTGCAATTAACCCGATAGTCTGTTAATCCACTCTTAAAAAACATTCTCCCTTGTTTTAATCACTTAAAAGAGTTTTCACAATCTTGAGGAATTTGTTTTTCAGAAGGTGAATGTGATAATGCCTTCAGTAAACTAAAGAGCCCTTGAGTCCCTGCATTACAATTCTTATGATTTTGGTTCAGAGAATTTGGTTTTGAATCAACTAATGCCCTTTTTGATATTATTCTTCATTCTCATCATCTTTCTACTTGATATTATATCGATTTGTATTGATATTGTAAGGAGAAATTCTATCTCAGTCACTTGTGGGGGTAAAAGGTTGAGGTACATTTGGAACAAGGACTGCTTGAATTAGCAACATAAATTGTCCTCTGTATAACATGGTTAAATAGGTTACATAGGCTAATTCACCACTCCCTATAGGGCTTTAAAGAGCCAACACCCACCCATCCCACCCCAGTGGAAGACATCCACCACACAGTAGTCTCGTGCGTGGGAAATTAAGATCTCCTACCCCTAACCCTGCTGGAGACGGG